TTCCATAGGATTATTAATGCAGAGACGTTTTACAGTCTACCCCTTGTGCATGACAGCCTTATGAGAGATTATTCATAATCACGGAACAACACTTAGCTTCAAAAAAAAAGGTGATGCTAAGATTCAATGGCTGCAGTTCATTGGGCTGGCCTGCCCCTGTGCCCCCACACCTTGGCTGGCCTCCTCAAGCAAGGACATGCCTCCTCAGTGGTATCAGGCACCACGGGAGTCTCGCTGTGTCCCAAATGGTGCTGTTTTGGAAGAGCAGCAGTAGGAAGTCTTCCCACTCCATTGCAGAGGCTCTTTCTAGCTCCACAACAGATTGTGATGCATCAGGTTAAGGCCCAGATGTGGAAAGGGAAAGGTGGGGGAGGGGGAATGTGTCTGCCACCATAAAACTGTGTGGAGAGAAGGGTAAAAATGCAACAAGCAAACAGGGTTTGTAGCATGCGGGTGTGTGCATAAGGCCTGCCCAGATGAACATTCCTCCATAGGGAGGCAGGACCGATCGTGCCATCTGAGCAGGCTAAGGTCCCCTTCCCCAACATATTTTGGACTTCCGCTTCAATCAGCCCTGGCAAGCATGGCCAGTGTTCCAAAACATTTTGGGGGGGGGGGGGCGGGGGGACCTAATTGGGAAAGGCTAGGCTATGGTAGGTAAGAATTCATTTGCTGATTGACAAGACGGCCACATTTTCAGAGGGCAGGCCTCTGTTTGAAAGCCTGCCTTATCTAATTCCTGATGAAATACCAGGAACCATAAGAACTTTTGCCATTAAAAGTGAACACCTGATCAGCAGGCTGAAGAGGAAGGCATGTAGATCACCTGGTCTGTCTTCCACAGTGGGGTGAGATATATACATTTCTGCTTAGAATAATTATTCTTACATTTGCACCTGTGCAAATACAATAGTATATGCACATGTTATATAAATAACTGCTCTCTTTTGGTCTCTTTTTTTGCTAAGTTGCAGGTGCCCACAGTATGAGATCCAGAAGCATACCACTACCACTTCTAAGAACCTCTGAAATATGAATTTCCCTCCACAGTTTTTCATGCTTCATATTTGTATAAGCAAAGCTTGCAGCAAAAGCTAACACTGTAAACCTCTGCAGAGATACCATTCGTTTCAAATAAGATTTGTCCCCATGACTTCACACTGGATTGGGACCAAAATAATAGAAATGTAGGTCCTGTGACCAATAGAAATCCACAAGCCACAGTGTATGATGTTTAGCTTATGTTTAAACAGGTTCATGTCACTTAGCTAAACATGTTACACAGAAGAAAAAGATAAAGGATTATATTTTCTTGATCTGTCTTTTAACGCTTGGGCATCAAATTGGAATGATGGGATTACAATGCCTTAAACCCAAATACTTTGTCAATTTATGAAGTCACAATCTAACACAAAGGCTCTTGCACAGCCAGGTGAATGATTTTCAGATTATCTTGGCCTTTTCTAAAGCTGCTGAAATTAATGTATCATTAGAGACAGAATACAGCCAGTAAGCTTCAAGTCTTAGTTCACCCACTGATCTTATTTAAAATGCATTCCTTTACAATAAAAAACCGGCATGGTTCCAAAACAAGCAACCAAAAAGAGCTGAAATAAAATTGCTCCTAAATACTCGTTGCTGGGGAACACAAGGAGGACGGGCTCGCTGGGCTCCCATCCTCCCAGTGGGCGTTTCGTGGGCAACTGCTTGGCTGCCAGGGGAACAAAACACTGGATGAAAATGGCCTTCAGGGCTCTGCTTTCGTTCTCAATACATGTTCCCTTCACCTGCTGACCTGAGAGTTAAATCACTGTCCCAAACCACAACGCTTCTGCTGGATTCAGATAAGTTATAAAAGTACTAGCAAGTGATTTTATCTATCATTTGTACTTTTAAAATCAGACTTGTTGGCCAAAAACTCAGCACTGCATCTGGGTCCAGCTGTTAACTGTTTTCCGTCAACTGTTAAATTTATTATGATTTCTTAAATAGTTGTGCGTATGTTGTGAGCTGATCAGAGAGCCTTATGGGTAAGGTGCAGCATACAAATCAAATAAATAAATATATGATTTTGATTTGTTTTGGATTGGTTTGGTGACAATATTGAAATATTTTGGATTGTAGAATGAATTTCTTTCATGAGCACTGTTAAACTGCAGTGTATCGGAGGAGGCCATAAAGGTGTCTCAAAGCACCTGAAAGATTACTAACTGCTTTTTCTGCCAGAAGCTTTGTGGACAATTAACTTTGGTTGGCATAAATATATTTATACAAATTCATAAATGGGTATAAATATTGTATACATGTATGCTATAGTGTCAAATGGCCAAAAGTGCAAGAGATATACAAGAAAAGTACAGGAATGTATAGCAGAATATAATGTAGGTTTGTGCATAGGCCAGCAATGGAGATTACAGTTGCCTTATCTGTTGCTGTGTCCTCCAATCCACAAATGTTTGTGAAGCAGTGAACATTTAAGATGTTTCAGAGTCAGGCATCTTTATGCAAGAAAGAACATGTATTCAAGCTAAGCCACTGGGCTGATGCACTCAGAGACAGCTTCTTAAAAGGACTCATTAAGAAATTTTGCAGATCCATGCACCAGGACAAAACTCTGGCCTTTCCCAAGGTGGTTATCTACTTAAGACCTTGCTGTACTATGTCCTTAGAGCACAGCGGGAGACTAAACATTAAAGAGTTGGAAGGGACCACAAAGTTCATCTAGCCCAATGCCTGCTGATACAAAAACAAAAACAAAAACCCAACAACCACCACCTGCAATTAGAGCAGCTCTGATGAGTGGCTACCCAGCCTCTGCTCAGAAGGACCCACCAGCTTCAAAGCCCTGCTTCAGGGGAGAAATGCTATCCTATCAAAGGTGAACCATCCCACCTGCTCCATTCTCAGTGACTTTATGAGCAAGGCTGAAGTTGCAGTTTGGGGGGCCCTGCTTTGGAGGAGAGATGCCTGAATTTGCTGGAGTTACTCATTTTTAAAAATCCTTTTTCAATTCTTACATTAAAATGGTATGCTGTATTATTGTATAGCTGTATTTTACTACATAAATTGTTGTTAACCACCCAGAGAGCTGTGATTATTTTGTGCTGCAGAAATGCAATGCATGAAATTAAACTGTTTGTTCCCCCTTGAGCCACTTGTTCCATCAGCAAGCAGGTTTGTGTTTGCTCTTACATTTTCCATCTGTTGGTAAGGAAATGTGAATAGCCTGTGGACTTGTTTAAATAAGCCATCCATCTCCCTTCTTAACATTTCACTGACTTCCCTTCTTGTGACTTGCATGCACTGGCTTGTGTCCCATACCCAGATGCAACAGAAATCAAATCTGGCCCTCAGTCTGTGAGGCAACCCTTCAAATACTGGAATATCATTATCCTGTTGTCTGTTTCCGCCAGACCAAGTCCTTCAGCTTCTTCCAGTAAGGCTTCATCTCCCATCTGGCGAAAGGGACTGTCTCTGACCCACGTCTCTCCTACGCGGCTCCCCAGTAATGTCTGGTGCAAGGAATGAACATTATTCCCCTTATCAGGCTTCTCTGTCCTCCTAAGCCTCAGCTACTGCCATGGACTAGAGATCTAAACCTTCAAGACTTTTTGAGTAGAACAGATCCCGGGGCCAAGCAAATGCTTCATGGGAAATCACAAGGAATCTGCACGTATCTTAAGGTGCAATGCTATGCCCACTCAGCTAGAATAAAAAGTCTTTGCACTCCCAGCATGGCTGGCTGTGGAATTCTGGGTGTCTGAGGACTTTTTTCTGTTTGAACATGCATGCAGAGGATTTCTGGGGTAAATTGAATACATCTGTATGAGAACTGGCATTCAGGAACTGTAGCTCACTCATCACAGGCACAATCCTCTGTTGGGCAGCACGGGGGTGAGAACTGGAGAGGAGAGGTCAAATGGCCATTAAATACAAAACAAAAATGTTATACCCCATGAGAATTTCACTAAAGCTGAAGGTTTCAGTCCTATACATCTTGACCTAGAAATTTTCCCACCCCCAACTCAGCAGGGCTTATTTCTCAGTAAATGTGAGGATTGTGCTGTTAATGTGTGAAAACTACTATTGTGACTATTCACAAGAGCGATTCTCACCCTTACATTGCCAAGTTAAGCCTGCAGGAAATGGTGCCATCAGGACAGTTTCCCAAAGCAACAACTGTTGTCTGCCTCTGTTCTTCCACCTCTTGGATTACTTTTCTATGCAACTAGTTAGGTCCAGGTAAGTAAGGCGTTTGCAAAGATCTTACAAAGGAGTACCTCTGTGTGTGCATGTGTGTTGCAGAGGGTAATCTTACACCAGTTTTCCCCAACCTGGTGACATCCAGTGGGTCAGACTACGACTCTCATCATCTGAAGACTGCTGGTATGGGATGGGGCTTGTAGTTCAGACAGCAACCACTTGCGGCTGGAGAACTGAGTTAAGACCGAGGTTCAAATCCCTACTCACCCATGAAGCTCACTGGGTCACCTTGGACCCGGCAATGTCTTTCACCCCAACCTACCTCACAAGGCAGTCCTGAAGATAACGCAAGGGGATGGGGTGAGAATCCGGCCTGCGGCCTCAAGCCCCTTGGAGGAGAAGCCGCAAAGCATAAGTAATATATAGAGAGGAAGAGGGGAGAAAGAGCGCGCGTGCATTTGACCCCAACATCCTCACATTCGTAAATCTAGAAACTATCCTTCGCCCTTCTCAGCCGCGGAGAGCGGGGCGGGAGGGCTGGCGAATGTTACAAAGGAGGAAGACTGAAAGGACAGGACGCCAAATAAGCAGAAGCGCCCCCCCCCCCCCGCACACGAAAGTCTAGTTTAAAAGGCTTTGGAGACGTCTCTGGCACGGGTGGCCATCAGCCTTCCCAAGGTGACTTGAGCATCCTGGAAAGAGACCCGGAGATCGTGCTCGCCGGGCTGAGGAGCCTTCCCAGCCGCCCGAGAAACGGGGGACGGAAGCGGGGCGAGCGGTCCGATTCGACGCGTTACCTGCGGTGCTGCTCGCGACATGCGAGACATGCCAGGCGGCCAGGAGCAGAGCGAGCGGGACGGAGCGCGCCGCGGAGAGGCTCATGTTGCGGCTGCCGCTGGCCGGGACGACCTGCAATCGCGCCGCAGCGGGCTGGGCGCTCCTCGGCAGCGCCCCTGCCGGCCCCCCGCGCTCCAGCACCCGGCTCGCTCGCTCGCTCGGGCGCTGACGCTGCCGTCGTCCTGGCGCTGCTCGGCTAATAGCCGGCCCCTGACGTCAAAGGGCGCGAGTGCGCCGCTGCAGCAGCGGTCGGTGGGGTGGCGAGGTTCCTCGGCTGGCCCCGCTTGCTTAGGCTGCAGCTCCCGGAAGCAAGAGGCCGACCGCAAGGGACGCGAGAGGAGTCGAGGCTGGGCGGGGAGCTCCGCGCACGCGGTTCCTCGGCACCCGGCGAGGGGGGCGGCTGGTCGCCGGCCTTGAGCCAGGCTCCTGGCTGGATGGCTGGGAAAACGTGCGCGAAAAGCTCGTGCAAAAAAGCGAAAGCGGACTGACAGCAGGGCCCAGAAGGTCTGAACGCACAGCACGGGTTCTTAATTGTTTCTAAACCCAGTGCAAGGTGCCCGGTTTGAGCCATAAACCCTGATACTGCCTGGAAATACCTGATGGAGCGCATCCCCGAGGAGGGCCTTCTTAGTGGTAGCCCCACCATTTGTGGAACTCTCTCCCCATTAGGTCTCCACCAGTACTGTCTTTTTTCAGCACCAAGTTAAGCCTTTCCCTGACTTCAGGCAGTTGCCAACACACACACACACACACACACACACACACACACACACACACCATAAAAGTTGCTCTATCAGGTATAATACCTAAGATAAAGTGTTTAGCTGTTTTAAATTGAGGTTCAATTGCATGCATTAAAAAAATTTTCTGCTTTTGTGAACAGCTCAAAGTGGGTGTTACAGAAAAGAATGAGTGAAGCTGTCCGGACAGGTCAGACTGCTGTCCCCATTATCCCCAGCTAGAGATGAAGCCTGTTGTACCATGTCAGCCAGGACTGGAGTAGACAATACTGAGACCTTTAAGCTAACAGCCTGAGCTGATTTAAGGCACATTTCCATGTTCTATGTATGCTTGATTAGTTGGAAGCAAGTGCTGATACAGCACGTTGGAAACCCATCACCAAAAAAGCGGAGGGGAATAATTTGTATGGCATCTGCATGCAAATCTTAATTGAGAAATAATACAATTTACATAAGATTACAGCAAATCTTGCCACATAGTTTCCGGGTGCCTGCCTCATGGCTGGGCAACCATGCCTATGGTTATTTATCTTTAAAACAGAATTGGTCAGGATAGTTTGCAGGGTGGAGGCTTCCAAACAGAGGGCAGACCATTGGCAATCCTTTGAACAAAGGGCTTTTCTCAGTAAAAGAAGACACTGGCCGTGCTACAGAGTGAACCTTGCTAAGGATTCATAGGAGGCACAGGGTGTGAGCTGAAACGGAGGTCCAAAGAAAACCATCCCGGGTTCAAAACGGCGCTGCTTGCTGTGAGGCATCATCTATTCAATGACAACGTGTTCCCACTTCCTTAATATGGAGTCTGTGTGTCATCGTCGTCGTCATCTCATTTCTACACCACCCCACAGCTGAAGCTCTCTGAGCAGTTTACAACAATCCATAAAACGATAAGATGCAAAAATAAAATGAAAATAAAAAATCAGAAAAAGATCAAATAGTCAAAGCAAACAGTAACAAAGAATGACTCTGCAAAACACCTGTAATGGGTAACCCCCTCAAGCCCTTGGGTGGCCAAGTTAGTATTTAAAGGCTGCGGGGAAAGAGGGTCATCTTAACCTGGCACCTAGAAGATGTGGAATTTGGCGCCAGCTGGGCCACAGTGGGGAGGCCCGAGAGAAAGCCCTCCTCCCTTGTTGCATAACAATTGAGAATGCCACTTCAATCTCTCCTAAAAACAACAGCCTGGTGCCAGTCTCAGCACACATCCTTCTCTGCATTCTCACTCTTATGGACCTGCATATTACCTGTTTTCTGCTTTTCCGCTCTGCAGCACATGCAGTGCTTTTGATGTGATCACATTAAAGATCTGCTGATTAACAGAAATCTCTGCTTGCAGTACTTCATATTCTCTTTGTGTTGTGTGTATAAGTTATAGTGCATACAGTGTGTGTGTGTGTGTGTGTAGAGTATATATAGTATATAACACTGGGAATCATCTAGCCCATCCTTCTCCTGCATCAGCACCATGGAACCCTGTGGTCCCAGGAAATAAAGGTAGCCCGTTCTTCTGCTCACTTTTAGTGGTTGTTGTAGACATTTTCCTTTTGTTAGACTCCTGTTTTGCTACATTTCTCCTGTTTTATTTAAAGGTTATGCTTTGTCTGTGCTTCCTACCTCTGTTATTTTTTTGCTGGGTTTTAGCAAATGTAGATTTTGATTTTATATATTTTTATTTTTATTTTTTTAATATATAATTATAATGTGTTTGTAAAGCTGCCTTAGAAGTGCAAGATATACATTTCTGTATAAATAAATATATGTACCAGAAGAAACACTAAATTAATGGGCTTGTAATTTCCAAGATCTTCCTGGCTCCCAAGTCTATACCAGGAATTTCCTAGATTTCAATAAATCCTCTGGTAAAGAGGTGATTTCAGTGACAAGTTGCAAACCATTGTTAGAACAACAGTTGTAACATTTTAGTTGTTAAGAACCTTTAGCATAAGTAAAGACAGACAGAAAGATCAATTTTCTTCTGGAGAACAAAACCACAAGGAGTCCAGGGTTCACCAGGATTAAATTTTGACACCTCTTTTAAGCCCTGAACAAGCTTGTCCCTTGAGCATGTGCAGAATTATTAATCCTCCCCACAAAGTAGCTCTTGCCTTACCCAATTCATTCAGATTTATTCGGAATGACTCTCAATCTAGGCCTCCTCCTACATTTTCTTTTCTAAAGCATGCAAGCTACAATCTGACCAAACAAACGTTTGAAGAGGATGGAGCTGAGCGTGACTTTCAGTTTATCTGTGACAAACCTTGGTCTGGTACTGTGCTGGACCGTTGTGCAAAATGGTCCTTAACAGGGTAGATTTGGTTTCTGGCATTCATCTCTGGGTGTTCCTCTTAACCTGGATCAAAATAATCTCCCTTCTGTTACAGCAAAGCTAAAAATTAACAACTCACACTAATTTTGGGCAGGAAACATTCAGGTTAAATGGGCAGGGCTTTGTTTTGGCTAATCAGTCCTTTGGAGAAGCAGATTAACAGTAGGGGGCGGGTGTTGTTTACGTTCTTCGGTGGGAGCTAATCCTTAGGAGATGGTCTCCTTAATTGCTGGAACAGCTCAATGAGATAACCATCGGAGCTTGGAGGAAGAGAAAAGCCTCCAAGTTTGAAAAGGGACTAGGGGTCAAAGCATACAGAATGCTAAATGCAGATTTAACGTTATGTTGCTTCGCCCCGAGAAATAGCTGGAGGCAGAGCAAACGGTCTCAGGATGGAGATAGCTGAAAATGGAGTGCAGGCCTCCAAGTCTCTCGAAAATGGGGGATCATCTTTCTTGGAGGAGGGTTTCCTTGCATTTTGCCCCTGCCCATATCTTTGCCAATAAAGCAAATATTACAAAGATCGTTTGAGTCGGCTCAAAGAAAGCTAGACTTGGTCGTGCTGTCTCTGGAACGTCTAACCACTTGGGGAAGGAAGGCAGAAGCACCTATCAAGTTTTTTCTTGATGACAGCAGTGTTATAAATACACAGCGGCCAACATGTCTTTCAGAAATAGCAGGCAAAGAGTATTTTGTGAAACCAAACTAACAGACAACTGATGTCTCACTTCCTGCATTTTGTTGCTAGGATCTGACTCTGACAAGAGCAATATGTTCTTTTAGTTTTTATGTGTTACTGTAATTTTAGGTTTTTGTAAAGTGCATTAAGGGGGCAAGATAGAAATTTCTACTGGGGAAGCAGGAACAGGATTTCTGCCCTGGCTTTGCCGTCCTATTGGTTCTCAGGATCTGGCCTGAAACACAACTTGTTCAAGTATCTCCTTAAAAAATGCCACTGCAGAGTGCATCTTTGAAGTTGGCTCTCAGCAAGCTGTCTTTCTCTGTCACTTGCAGTATTCATGAACAAGAACTGATCACTCAGACTGTATCAGAGGGGCCAAATTAGAGAGGCAGTGTTGTATAGTGGTTAGAGTGCTGGACTGGCATCTGAAAGGTGCAGTTTCTGGTCCTCAATCATGAAACCCACTGGGTGACTCTGAGTCGGTCACTGACTATGAGTCAAACCTACTTCACAGGGTTTTTGAGAAGATGGAAAGGATGAAAAGGAATTTGCAAATTTCCTTGGTTCCATGCACAAAAAGGTGAGATGCTAATGGCAATATCTTCACATCTGTGTCTCTCATGGATACACCACAACTGTAGGTGTTGTGATTCTTAACTTCTCAGGAAAAGCTACTGAAAAACACAATGATCCTTGCCACAAAAAAGAAAAAAAGGGGGAGGTTACACTGGTAGGCTATTAGATATTTTACAGAAGGAATAACTGAGAACCCAGAGAAGGAGATTTAAAAAAAGACTGATGCTCTTAAGGAAGACAAGAGAAACTTTGAGTCACAACCTACCTCTCTGGGCAAAAGAGTAAGAAGAGTTACAATTATGCCTAATGCTCCAATTCAGAGAGTTGTCTGAAGAATATTGGATTATAAAAATTTGTTACTTTAGATCAAAGGCATGCTTTAAAATTTGCTATCAGTTAGGGCTAATTACTAATTTTGTGCCAGCGGTGTTAGTGGGCCCAATCCTGTCTGTCCTCCAGTGGAACAGGAACAGAGGTGGAAAGAGATCTGCATATACCCTAAAGCCCCCTCTGATTCTTTCAAACAGCTTTACATATTTGGGAATCCTCTGGAGCAAATTTGGGGGAAGTTCTGGGGAAAAGGCAGAAGAGCAAGGAGAAGTCCTGTTGCTGGAGTGGGAGTCCATGTGCACAACGCTGGATTCCACCCAGTGGGCTGGAGCAAATTGCTTCCTCCCAAGTAAAAAACTGGTCTGCAGCTCAATATGCACCAGTCAGAATGACGGATCCAC